AGGGGGAACCGGCGATGAAAACCAGCGGGACTCTCCATGAGGGCCAGTCCATCTGCGTGCCTTCCGTCACCGCGCTGTCCGAGCAGCACGTGGAGGGCGAGAGGGACGTGGGGGCCGCGAGTCACATACCAGCAGAGCGCATTCCGGAAATACGCGCGTCACAATCGGCCATAGGCCCACGTTGTTTGCCGGAGGTTTGCGAAGTTGCGCCGATCGCGGAAGAGGTGACTCCAACGGCCAGCATAAGGGTGAGTCCCCCTGCAGAACTCACCACTGCCTCGCTCGCAGTGGGGCAGACCAGCACAGCGGACTTGGACATCGGATCGGCGCTCAGCTCCGGACATACGAGTCTGTTGGCACCGCCGAGTGGCCAGGAAATACCTTCCCCGCCTCCAGAGCCTGCAGGCCGAGATGGTGGTGATGGCGACTTCGAGGTCCAGCAGGATGTCGATGAAGTCGAAGAGGCCGTAGATATGACTCCGTCCCGGTCGGCTACTTTTAAAAGTGAGTGCCTGGGGAGCCACCCGCCAACTGGCCAGGATGACATGCAGCTCGGCGCCCCTTCAAAGTCCCAAGAGAAACCGTCTGACGTCGACAAAGTTGGTGCTGAAATTATGATTGAAATTGGAGGCGAAGAGCAGCAGTCTCCGGGTCTGCCTACAGAGGAAGAACGACGAGGTGGTCAAGTTGGCACAGCCAGTGCTGAAACGCCTCTGGAAACGGGAAGTGGCTCTCCGGCGCGTGACTTGCTCGCAGTAGGGGCCGTGCAACAGCAACCCCCTCGAGCGTTGAAGAACGAATGTATCCGGGACCCTGGCGGTGCAGTCCCGGCGGTAGGCCCCCAGGACGCGCAGGCTCAGCACCATCTCAACGTGGACTACCTCAGCGTCGAGCACCCCGTCGTGCGACGTGACACGCCCTTCCCCCCGCTCGGGGTGGTCGGCGGTCCACTGGACGAGAGGATCAGGTCGTTGACTATCGACGAGCCTCTCTTGGAGGAGCCCGAGGAGGAGGCTTACCTGCCCGCAGGCGCAACGTCCTTTCGGATCGACGCGGCCATAGCGGTGCCCGACGCCGCCGCGGCCTCCTCGGCCGCAGCCACCTCGGCCGCAGCCCCCGCGCCCTCGGACCCCGCCACCGCGGACCCCGCCGCCGCGGACCCCGCCGCCGCGGACCCCGCCGCCTCGGACCCCGCCACCGCGGACCCCGCCGCCTCGGACCCCGCCGCCGCGGACCCCGCCGCCGTGGACCCCGCCGCCGCGGACCCCTCTGAGGCCGCGGAGATGTTCGGCCCGTCGACTGGTGAAGCCGCCGATCGCGCCCCTCCACTGAGCGGGCCCACCTTCTGCACGTGCGAGGACGACAGGGTGCCGCGGCGTTCCCAGGCTGCCCGCGCGTCCCTCCCGGGCAGGGAGACGCCCGCAGGACCGCGACCCGGGGACAGGATGCGGCGGTGCTCCAACTGCGGAGAGGTGCGGACGCCCGGCGCCCCTCGCCACCATGGTAGGCGCAGTGAGTCCTGACGCCCGCCCTCCGTCCCCGCTGTCCGCAGGAATGGATGTCTGTCCTGTCGGGGCTGGAGGCGGCGTCCAGACGCAGGGCGATGGTGGCTAGGACCATGGCGGCGTGCGAGCGGGAGCTGGGCCCTCTCAACGAGGCGCTGAGGCGGCTGCACGAGAAGGTGAGCTGCCCGACGACTTCTTGGAGGAGAAGTTGTGCCTCCTCGGTCATCTCCTGTGCTTCGCGCAGGTGCGAGCCTTGGACCTGCCGGAGCTGTCGCCCCAAGGCGCTCAGCGCTCCGCGAGCCAGGCGTTCTACCCGGAGGTCCTCAGGATCGTACAGTCCAGGTAATTCAGGCGCGACAACGCGTCATCCAGACAGTGAACATAATGTACTGTCGCCGGCGTGCAGGTCGGCCACCGCGCAGCCCGGCGCCCACCCGAGCGGCCCCGCGTCCGCTGCCCCCGCCGCCTCCGCAGCCCCCGCCGCCGCGACCCCCTGCCCCTACTGCGGCCTCCAGCTGGTACCCGAGGCGGCCCTGTCGCCGCTGGCTCGCATGTACATCCTGTTGTCGCAGCGCAAGGGGCCCCCGCTGCCCCCCGAGCCCCCCGAGCCGCCCGACGACCAGCCGGAGCAGTTCTAGACCAGTTCTAGGCGTGTCGTCTTTCATTCGTGGCCCGCCAAGCGCGGCCGAGCCTCGAAGGCGAGCACTGCACCGGACAAAGTGACCACCCGACTCTTCATTTGCCTTGCCCGAGGCAATCCACCCTCTCCCCCGACTCTTTTGCAGCATCCTGTCGGATACCAAGCCGTTTTTGTACCCACTCTTTTCGCGTGTTCTGGTCCTAGAACGCGGGAAGGGTTGCTGTGTAGGCCAAGGAGGGCAGGGGGAGACCTGCGCCGACCTGGCCCCCCGCAGAGGGTTGCCGAGGGCGGAGGGTTGGTAGGTTTGCGTGGCGCTAGTCGCGGCGCTACTGGGTGCGCTGGAGAGGAGAGGGGGGGGGAGGGGTAGCAGGCCAGTCCCGCGAGCAGCGGCCCAGCCCAGCTGGCCCCGGCCTGGCCCAGGCCCTCAGTCCCAGTCTAGCCTTGCTCGGCAGCGCGTTGCCAGTTGCTGAGCCGAGTCTTCCTGTGACGCTCTCCACCCTCTCCATCCCTCTCCACACCCCATCCTCCACCACCCGCTCCTCCGGGGACCACTTAAGACACCGCTAGGACGCAGCAGACCTATCAACCAAAATGGTGAGTTTGTAAAAATAAGAGATCATAATTGGTTAGGGGCCTCGATTGCTTGCGCGGCGAAAAAGAAGTTTTACTTTCCCGATCTATCCCGATAATTGTCGACAAAAGAGTGACCAAATGAACTTATAAACATTTTAGAACATAGAAGTGATTCTCTGCAACTCGGGGCCTAATCGCGCACGTTGTTTTCTCATGAGTGCGCGACTCCCACCCGCAATAACGACACGAAAATCGTCCTCCCACACGGGGTGGGGGAAGCACCACAAGCACGGGGCCGATCCGGCGTGCCTGCCTGCGGGCCCGTGGGCTGGGCGGCCGACAAGAAATGCGCAGAAATCAGTACCAGGTGGCTGATTCTCGCCGCGTACTTTCGTAGTTATACGGCACCGTATGCACGGGTGCGAGCGGGTTTGCTTCCTCTCTGCCCACAGCTCCTCATGGCCCCGTGCGAGTAGGCAACCCGCCTGCACGCGTGCATGCGGTACAACAGTATAACTTCGAAAGTGCGCGGCGTGAATCAGCCACCTGCTGAAATCATATCTATCTTAGTCGTCTAAAAATAAAAATGTTACTATCGAAGAATGCGCTGACGCTTACTGCCAATAATGAACAAAATAATTCAACTAGTAACAGTGCGGTAGTTGTTTATGTGGCGTGATCTACTTGTCTCTACGTATATCAACAGCACATCAGTCATGCATGCACACACACCCACACGCTCTCCCGCTATAGCTCGCAAGGGGAGCTGCACGACGGGCTGCAGTGCGTGCTCGCGGCTCGCGGCGCCACGCACGCACGCTCGCAACCTGTCCAATAGGCGAGTGTCGTGCGCACGCGCCAAGCGCACGCGCGACCCGCACGCCACCTGCGGCCAAGCCGGCCGGCCCTCCAGCCCACTCTTATCACCAGCTCGGCTGAGGTGTCGGTGCTCCCCAGCCCCAACTCGACTCCGCCCCTCGCTCCGCCCGCAGAACGCGGCTGCAATGTGCTGTGCGGTATACATTCTGGGAGAGGAGATGGTGTGGGTGCGAGTGGGTTGCCTACCCTCTCGCAGCATGCGGGCGTTATAAGGGTATTCCCCTGCACGAATCCGTTGCACGGAATCTAAAGAAGAAGAGCATGACAGCTTGGACTGTTTCCTTCCGAACGCTGATAGACCGACGATGACGGCGGTGTGGCGGAGCGGGGCGGAATCCGAAAATTACATCTTGCAAGATGTGCACACAGACGCATCCTGTAATGGGGAATAATTTTCCCTTCTTGCCATTTAGAGTGTACGAACGGAAGAGCTACAATTGGTATTATCTAGCTTTTCACATAACACGTAACAAACAACGAAGCTTTTTACGTGATCGTTACCAATAATTATTGGCTGATGACAAATAAAACAAATGTCAGCAAATTTATACTTGTAACAAAACTGTGACGACGTTTGCATGCGGATTTTTTTCTGTTTTGGAAAATGTTTCATAGACGCGCTTCCTTGCCTAAAAATAAAACGCTTAGTTCCATCACCGCTGCCGCTGCTCCTGCCTGGTCCGTGTCCGGCCCGGCGCCAGCCCGGCGCTCCACATGCATTATGCGGGGGCGGGGCCGGCGGGGCCGGCGGGGCGGGGTACATTTCACGCCACTGCAAGCATTTCGCGCTACATTCCAGCCCCTCTAGCTCCCGCAGTGTGGCAGGGAGAACGATTATTATTATTTTAGAACAGGAGCAGAAGTGTGTACAATCGCGTAGCATCGCCCTGCTGCGCTGATGCAGTCATTCCGCGCACTGAGAAGGAGTTCCACTTGTCAGCTGGACAAACATTCTCCATAGCAGTTGTACAAAATGGTCTTGCGTTGGGACGCGGTGCAAATGAAAATACACGAGTGCAGACTTCATGACTAAAGCGTTTAATGCTCGAGCTCAAATATTTGTTTGAGAAAGCCGGAAGCGGGTGGAGGCGGTAGAAGGGGATACGACGATCGCTATCGGTGACCACCACCCTCACCCTCACGTTCCCAAATAACCCCGCTGCTACTCAGACCAAAATGTAACGAGCAGGAGGAGGAAAAAAAGAAGGAGGGGGGGGCGTTCCAGCCGTGGCAGGCGAATCCTTCATTACTCACGCGGACATGTAAGAAAACTCGACTTCATTCTCACTTTTGTGATTTCCTGGCTGAATTGCTGATTTGCATCGTCACTGCCCCTTATCAATCTCGCTTGAGGAGGATCATGGTCATTCCCCGACCCGCCACGTCAGCCTCGCCACCCCGCTCCTCGCCCAGCCC